TGTTTCTGCTCCCATTGAGTGTGGCCTTAAGTGTTTTGCTGGGTTGGCATATCTACCTCATTTTGCAAAACAAGACAACAATTGAGGTAATGAGAGTGTTATATGTGCCGTATGTTGGTTTATTTTCAATTCTGATCTTGAATTGCTAAACATTTCCTTTTTGTTTTGTTCGAAATTCGGCAGTATCATGAAGGGGTGAGAGCTCTGTGCCTTGCAGAGAAAGGAGGAACTGTGTACGAGCATCCATATGATCTCGGGGCCCATGAAAATCTATCGTCGGTAATCACTAGCAACGGAACTGTTATCTTGTCAAATCGGAGAAGACCTCATTTTGTTATTTTTAGCTTTAGATTGTAGCCACCGAGTGTTCAAATATCCCCAATCTTGTATATCTTAAGTGGCCTTGATATGCAGAGTTTTAGTACTCCAGCTGACCGAGCCTAGATTGAACATCATGAACTTGGTGCATTCTTCGCCTTATTTCAGCTGTTGCCGTCTTGTTGTTTCAGGTATTGGGTCCAAGTATCTTCTGCTGGATATGCCCCACAACGAGACACATAGGTGACGGTCTGCGCTTTCAAACATCCTACGATTCCATTCCCGCCGCATCAAAATGAAGTCTCGATTGTATTTGACAGAACGTTGGCTAATACCAAAAGCTGTCGATGCTCGAGGGATTGATGAATGCTTAACTTGTGATCATGTACGCTATCACCTTGCTTTCGTCCGGGAAAGAGAGAATACGAAATGCGTGTTCATCGCTTTTGAAGCTATTGCTGCGAGTGGCAATATGGAAAGGTCCCCTGTCCATAACCAGGCAATGCAAGTCTCCAAAGCAATTATAATTAGAAATATGATTTTGTAGAGTTTTACTTTTACCCTTGTGTTTTTTGAGCTTCTAGTTAGTTTTATTATTAGTACACACATTGTCCATTAAAGAAGGCATCAATGTAGAAAACTTATATAAATCATGTACAAGAAAACTGTATAATCCTTGTAGCTATAAAATACTAACAGAAGTTTTGGTAATAATTGGCAAATAGGCACACTGTTCAGAAATTTATCTGAATTTTAATTCCAAGAATATATTATTTATTTCATGTATCTAAATTTATTTATAATTAGATTTATACAAATATTATAAAATTAAAAAAAAATAAAAAGCTAAACAATTAAACTACACCTATAAAATTGAACAAAACAAATTGATTTAAATAGAATTGAATCGAAATAATTTAATTTAATTTTTTGAGATAAAATCATAAGTAACATGTAAAAGTCAAAGTAAAAGATAAAATAGAGGTGCATCGATGTTTTTCAACCGGTCCGACCAATCACCCTGGATTACGGCTGATCTTACCGCCGTCCAAATTGGACATGCGTTTTCACGTGATTTAAAACCCCTGTACTGTGCATATAAAATAAAAAAAATTGGTACCAAAATGTCACAATTAACCCGGTTTGATACCAAACCGATTTCTTTTCCTATTTTTGTGGCTGGAATAAACAATTCTTTTAGTATGGGTCGGCTCATGTGATTTAAAATCATGATTTTAGTAATATTAATTATTCATAATACAATTAGATTCATAAGTATTAATTATAGTTTGTCTTTAACTATTTAATTTTCATATCTTCCCCATCATTAAGATCTTCATTACTATCTTTACACTCATTATTTTTTTAAATGATATACTTAAAACGTTCGCATGCACGTGGATTAGGAGTTTTTTTTATAGATATAATCATCGATATCCGATCTATTGATCGACTAATCTAGATTGGGTATTACAGAGGCGATGATGACCCTCTCAACCCAGTTTGCTCCATTCGCAAAAGCAATGATTCTAACCCCTAATTTTATTTAAAAAATCTAGTGTCTCATCTTATTATACCATCTGATTATTGATTAGAGTTAGAGTTTTTAATTTTCGGTCTATATCTTTTTAATATTTAAAGTTAGTGCCAATTGAACATCTATAGTTGAAATTGAAATTTTAATATTAAAAAATTTTGCCATTTTTTCGGAGGATGGAATATTCAGTATTTTAATATGATCGGGTCACTGGCTCACTGCTCATTAAAAATTATTTTCAAGGTGATTAAGTATTTACAATATGAATATACACATGTGATGTAAGTATTAATAATAAGGATTAATGGTCCACTGATGAAATGCATTAATGGTCCACTGATGAAATGTTTCGTCTTCAACTATTTAATTGTCATATCTTTTCTATCATTAATTGTATTCTTTTTACTTTCCTTTTTTAATTATATTATATTTTAAATGATACTAAACATGTCAACAACACGTGGATTAGGTGTCTTCTTTTTTATCTCGGTATTTATCATAATATATTTCACTTTTTTCAATTATTTATTATTCATTTTCTTTTTAATTTAAAAAATAAATTTATCCGTTATTATTTTATTAATAATATTTATAATTGTATTTTATTGATTAAGTATCATTATACCTTCGAAGACCCCCAACTTCCTTCCTCACAAGACCTCCACACAGATGTTTCATTTCGTTAGAGTTCTAAACAATTTTCTAAGTCGTTTATAGTAGTTAAATAAAAAATTTAGACAAAACTACTGATAGACTTAAACAGTCTAATGGTGCGAAATTCAAAGATCTTACAATTGATCTTCATAGTATGTCGACTTATGTATAGTTTTGATATCTTTACAACTTACACAAGCACTAAAGTCATTATAAAAATTCCTAAACAAGATTGAAAAATGGAATGCAACACTCATAATCTTGATATCGTCTTCTTCAATCTTCATGATTAACATTCCTCTTCATTCAAACACTGATCGACAATAATTTTTTCACCGACTGCAATTTTATGTTTAGTTTAAAAAATGATGAATTATCAATGACCGACGAGCCACATTTGTTCCTATTAACAATTATATTTATAAAATTATTTTTTTGTAATTATGATTAAATATAATTATTATATTACTAATTATATTTTCTAAATGATTTATGGTATCAAAACACACACCTAACTACGTTTGAAAATCCACAAATTAATTAAAATTGAATATAATTACTTGTAGTTATATAAATGTGCCACATTTAATTAAATATTATAATTGATAGATTTCATTAAATTAAATTAAATATAATTGAAGCATTTAATTATATTCTTTAACACTTAAGAGAGGATGAAATTTCAGGACGATTTTAAAAGATTATCATATCATTATATTTGGATGTAATAAGATATAATTAATAAATATAATGTGTTTAAACTATCATTATAATTTATAAGTTTTATTAACTTGAATATGAAACGTTATGAAGTTTTATAATGAAAACAATGATTTTCTATTTTAAATTTATAACATAAATTTATTTTATATTTAAATAAATAAGTATAACATGTTATAATATTGTATAATAATACAATATTTTTAACGTGAACTATTTATATTTATATAACATGTCATAATAGTTTTATAACAAAAAAATAGTTTTTAATACAAATATTAATTTTTTTATGACATGAATTTCTTTTTAAATATAACACATTATATTACTTTTACAAAAATAATATTTATCGATATAACATTAATTTCTTTTTCTTTTTATAATGTGAACTTTTTATATGTGTATAACATGTTAAAGTTTTTTTAATGACAATTAATGTAACTAGGTTGATAGTTCATGTACTTTTCAACTCAGTTTTTATTAAATATTTTAGTGTATTGTTTCAATAAGGTAAAGGAAAAAAATGTGATGAGTAATACTTAAACATTTAAAGAATATTTTAAGGTTTAGGATAATTCTTTTATAATGATTAATATTGTTTTTAAATTTAAATTTGTCTAATTATCAAATATCACACAATGAATTAAAATATAATTACATTATATTAATTAAACATGTTTATAAAAATAAAACTTATAATAATTATATTTTTGTACAATTATTTATGATGTCCAAAAACAATAGAATTACGCGTGTAAATAGCTACACTAATTTTTAATCTTTTTTTTATTTTTTTAAAAGCACGTGTATTACCTATAACATAATCATTGATGAAACTATTAGGCATAGTTTATCATTGTTTAGAGGAACAAGATCTGGCGATGGGATGCATTGGACAGATTTTTCAAAGGGTAATCATACATTTTCGGTACTCGTGTATTTAATTTTAAAATCGGTACAACTGGTTTTTTTTTTTAAAATTCAAATCAGGACAACTTGATTTATTAACTTAAATTGATTTAAGAAATAAATACTAAAAAACGTAATTCAAATATTTTATTAGACAAAAGAATATAGGTACCAAATTGTATAAGCTTGTTTATTTGGTTTTTTTTTTGTTTTTTTTTTATTTTAAATATTGGTGAAGATGTGGATTAAATTGAATATAATGTGAATTTTGAAGTTCAAATTATGAAGCCTAATGAACTTAAGGACTAATGACATAATTTTATTATTTTTCTTTGACTTGCAAGTAAAAGAATAAAAAGAGAGTGTCAATGGTAGAATATTAAACGAACGTATTCACAAACGTCAAATGAATATTTTTATGCACGTTAAACGAATAAACATAAGTATTTTTAAAAATAAATAAACAAACAAAATACTATAAATTTAAATGAACACTAATAGAATATAAATAAATTAAAAAATAAACAAACAAATACAAATATAATTCTATTAATTTAAACTATACATATATTTACCCCAAACTCTATACGCTTGGCAGCAGCATGGCTGCACACAAACACCAAGTGGTTGGTGGGGAAATTTTTATTTTTTAACCCAAACTCTATACGCTGTCCAAACCTTAACGCATTTTCCCCATTTTTTCCCACCTCTCTTCTCCTCACTCTGTTTCAGTTTTTTTTTTTTTGTAAACCCGGTCATCTATATGTATATATAAGTAGAACGTCATTAACAAGTAACCCTCGATCTCTTAAGCTTATTATACAAAAACAATAATCATTTTGTATAGAAAAAATAAGTAGAAATGAAGAGGTCTCCAATTATACCCGTAATAATATCAGACAAACCCAAGAATAAAAGGGCTAGAAAACAACAAAACACTCACGAGAATTGCAGCTCGAAAGCTAACTCTGCTAGAAGAAGCTCCGTTTACAGAGGAGTCACCAGGTGCGTAGAATTCTGGGTTTCTTTTTGGGTTGATTTTGAATTGCATGCCTGATATTTTTGTGTTACAAAAGGCATAGATGGACTGGGAGATTTGAGGCTCACCTTTGGGACAAATCTTCATGGAATAACATCCAGAGCAAGAAAGGAAAACAGGGTAATGAATTCAATCATTTCATGTCATGGTTTAGTTTCAGTTCTGGACAGAGCTCAGATTACTGACTCTGTTTTCTATTTTTATTGCTCTGTTCCATGCATTTGTCGCCTCAGTTTATTTGGGTAAGTCCTCCATCTTTCTAAACAATTCAGTAAATAAATTCAAAGACAGGGAAAAAATGGTAAAATTCATTGTGCCGATGTGTAGGGGCTTATGATAGTGAGGAAGATGCAGCACGAACCTATGATCTCGCAGCTCTCAAGTATTGGGGCACTGAAACCACCTTGAATTTTCCGGTATTTTAAAAACATTTTACTTTTGGATTTGGTGTGTGGAAAAAAACAAAGCAATTTTGAAAATGATGTGATTAATCCAGATGGATCGATACGAAAAAGAGATCGAAGAAATGAACAAGGTGTCCAAGGAAGAGTACTTGGCCTCCTTACGCCGGCAGAGCAGTGGATTCTCCAGGGGAGTTTCGAAATACAGAGGAGTGGCTAGGCATCACCACAATGGCAAATGGGAAGCGCGAATTGGTCGAGTTTTCGGGAACAAATATCTCTATTTAGGAACTTACGGTCAGCCACTAATCTCCATCTCATTATTACCCATTGCCTATTATCATTTTTTTAATAATTTAATAAAGTTATAAAGTTGATATTTTTTTTTTAATTTATTGATAATGTATATATATATTCTATAAATATAATTGTTCGAATAGATGATCTTTAAAAAAAACATTATTTTTTACTTTTTATCATGGAAACCACTAGATGAATTATATACTTATGACGACGTAGATTATAAAACTATAAACAACCGATATATATAAAATAATTTTACTAGAGTTCCCCTTGAAACTTGGTTTAAATAATTTAATTAAAGAGATTCTTGTGGTAGGTAATTTTTAAATTAGTGTGTCCAATTCATTACTATCAAACTGGTCAAAAAACCAGTTCAATAAATTATAAAATAACAGGACTATACTAAATACACGTGTGTTAAGCACGTGACTATCACTCACCCATCTAAGCTCAAGTCATGAATAAGACAACTTTTAGTCTTGAACTTGGTGAAAATAAATAAATTAGTCCCTGAAGATTTTCTTTCCACGTTAGAATACAGTTTTTTAGTGACGTGGTATATTAATGTTAGATTAAATAATAAATCCTGAAGGATCACATCATTAAAATGAAAGAAAAATTAAATTCAAAATTAACAGGACAAAAAGAATTAGGGGCCTAGTTGAAAAATAGTGAATTTTTAATAAACAGTTGTTCTATCCGAGATTCATAAACATCGCCAGCGGAGTAAGAAGCGGGGCAGAGATCACGTGCCTTGGGAGAACAAAATGGACCGATAGTGACTGAAGATTTTGGGAATATTTCTTTAAAATAACTAGTTAATTCAAAGGATATTATTTTAATTGTTTGTGTGAATACGAAAACACATCTTCCAATTAAATTCGGGTTTATTTTAGGTTAGATCGGGTCGGGTTTGTTTCTTCATTGCATGATTCCTTATAGCAAGTTAATCCTGAGAGTTTTAGTCTACACGATTAGGCGTACACAACTTTTCTCGTATTGCATTGATTTACTAGCCATAAATACATGTAAATGATAGTTTAAAAGAAATTTTATTTGGGATTAACTAATTAAAGAATTAAATATCGATAATTAAATATATATGTTTTTAAGACACACAAGAGGAAGCAGCAGCAGCATATGATATGGCAGCATTGGAGTACAGGGGAGCTAATGCAGTCACCAACTTCGACATTAGTCGTTATATAGAACGTTTGAAGCATAAAGGAATTTTGATTCTCGATCAACCGCAAGGACAGAGTCCCGAATCAGCCGAAGCTCGACCGATAGAAGCCGAAGAAGTCGAACAACCGCAGCATCAACAAGGAGTAGAAGAAGCTGTTGACATATCTCAACTTTTTCAGTACATGCAAATGCAGCTGCCTCTATGCGTTGACAACACAACAATGTTCGGAACGGAGACGACCGATGGCAACGAGCTAGCATGGAGTTTCTGCATGGATTCAGGGTTGACGTCTTTCTTCGCTCCAGATTTCCCTCTTGAGGAAACCGGCGAATTACCCAACTTGTTCGATGATATAACGTTGGACGATAACATCGACTTAATATTTGATCTGGGGCATGAAGATAACGCGGGTAAGTGGGAATGGCCCGTCGGATGATGAAAGTGGCAGTGTCAAAGTTGGTGCATCCATGAACATGCAAAATGTATGCATGCTAATTGCTATGCATTTTCTTTAATAAAATTAAAATGAAAAGAGGAGGGACTAATAAAGTGAAGTCCAGACTTGTTCTTTTTGGTTTTTGTTTAACATCGATCCCATTCAAATCAAAGGTTACATTTTGATAAAACTATGCAAGGAAAAAGGAATTCCATTCAAACCAAATTGAGGTATCTCCATACACCAAATTGACTTTATCCTGTTAGTCAAAGCTCTGTTAGGGATGAACAACGTAATATGTTGTAGAGGACATGGAAGTGGTACATTGTGATTAGCAATGACCATCTCATTTGGATTCGAGGGATTCTAATTCAGTTGGGTCGATTTTTTATTTTAAAAATTTAGGTTTATGTTAATTTTCTTAAAGATGGGTTGATTGAATTTCAATTTAGGGTGAAAACTTCAATCTAATCTAATATTATAATTATTTTTATATATATTTTTAATATAATTACAATAAAATCTATTTCTATATTGTTTTTAATTAAATCTTTATTTGATCTTAATAAATTATATACATTTAAGCTGAATCGAGTTTTAACTTAAAAATCGGAGCACTTAAAATTAAGTGATTTTTTTTTAAATCCAAATAAAATCAAATATAAGTGAAAAATATTAATTTTCAAATCGAGTTTGAATGGATAAAAACCAATTTCTCATTTTGATTGACTAATTTTTTTTTACTGATTTTATTTTTTTGAAATAAAATTTAGACACTGTTGATAAAAAAAACATTAGATCAATAGGTAAACGTTAGGGATAAACAATGTTTAATATTATTCCAAATTTAGGGTGGGGGAAGGGTTTATTCAGTTGTTCTTGGAGAAATCTTTCCTCTTTGGGTGTCTGTCTCAATAGGAGCTCAAAACTAGTAGAAGATGAATGCCCCAATTTTTGGTAAGACTTCTCTTTCTGTCTCTCGTTTCAAAAATTACTTTTTTTCTTATTATTTTCGGCTTTCTAAAATTGTGTTTTATTTGGAAGATCCATTGCAAGGAGATTTTCCAGAGGTGATAGAAGAGTATTTGGAGCATGGGGTTATGAAATGCATTGCCTTTAGTCGCCGTGGAACCATTCTCGCCGGTATCTCTCTCTCTCTCTAGTATACTTTTAAAGAAAATTGCTGCTATGTATGTTGAGTTGTTGTTATTATTATTGTTGTTGAAGTGCTATTTTTTCACTTATTCTCAAATGGTTGAGTGTTTCCTAGCGAATTCAGCTAGTTGGAGTTGCAAATTATATTCTTTTGGGGTTAAAGCTTACTTGGTTTCTATTGTTAACTACAATTTGCACAAGGGAAAGGAATCCATAGGTGATTGTTAATAACATAGCACTGTTTGAAGAAGAAAAACAGGGAAAATGCGATATCTTTTCCTCATATATGATTTTGCTTAAACAGTATTTGCTTATTTCCTCCTGATTTCAAAGACCACTGAAAACCGGAGTGCATTTGCTCCAGATTTCAAAGAACTTGAAGAAAATGGAGAGTACGTAGAACGAGAAGACTAGTTTGATCTGGTGCCTGAAACCGAAAAGGTGATATAAAACAGATATTGTGCATCAATATTTTGTTTCTAAAATATTCTTTCTGGTGCAGGTGATGAAGTTGATATTGTGACAGTGGAGAAGGATCCATTCAGTGATTCTGATATGTCTCAAGAGGAGTTACGCTTCTTGTCTGCTGTTCCTTGTCCTGATGATCCCCAACAGCAGGAAAAATGCGTGGGAAGTTCATCAAAGTTGATTGATAGTAATCACGCCGGGTCCCCTCTCTCAGAAGAGAATGGACAGAATGGACAAGCAGCCCACAATGCCTCAAGTCCACTCGAAGGTAAATTTGCCCCCTCAAATGTAATAAATGTTTCAATGTTCTTCTTAGTCCAATTTAACTGGAATAGTATGCTAGCTGCATAGAATAGTGGAGTTCATTGGTCCTCATTTGTAATATAGGTTCTCAAATGTAATTAGCCACTTAGCCGGTTCATTTAAGTTGTTGGGATGGATGGAGGGTTCTGGTAGGGTTTGTTGATTCAATTTTTGGTGTTATCGTGTTATGTAATATATAAAAAAAATGTTCTGGTAGGGATTGTTGGTGTTGTATGTTGGTTTCCCAAGTTTAAGATGAGTTGTGTGTTTGTTACAGAGGACCCAGGGGGAGGCAATCAGTCGAAAAGAAAACGGAAGCTTTCGGAGAAGGGGTTGAAGTTGCAGGCAGAGAAGGTGAGGAAGCCAATGAAACTCTTGAAATCTTCTGGTAGGTTATCAAAAACAAAAAATAATTCTGTTGTTGATCAGGATTATGGCAATGGTTTATATGACGATGATGGATCTGATGATTACTAGATGATCATAATTCTCAGTAAGGGAAACCTTGTAGGCGGACAGCTTAGAGCTACGTATATCAATTTTCCTTTTTAAGAGATTGCCAAATGAGCTTAGTATCCATGGATGCACATATCTCCTAGACATATGCTATGGCAGACATGATCAGAGCAACACTTGTTTCAAACACATATCTCAACAATTCTAATATAAAATTGAATATTTATCAAAACAAAGCATAAATACTTATTAAGATGAATTTATTCACTATCAATTATTTAAATAAATTAGATTACATAAATTATTTAAATAATTTTCATGAAGTAAAAGAGTTAATTTAAATAAATAAAAATAACAATATCAATTAATTAATCATGTTATTAGTTAAAATAATATAAAAAAGTTATTTATATTATATATCTTTAAATTATTTTTAAGATCATTTTAATTTTTTTTTGAATATTTGAAGATTCTAATTTCTTTAAATTATAATTTTCATTTTAAATTAATTTCTAAGCCTTTAAACGTTCCAAATTCTTCCCTAAATTATGATTTTCATTTTAAATTAATTCCTAAACTTTTAAACGATCTAATAATATTCTCCAAATTTATTTAAAAGCTTGGGGACCAATATAGAATGAGAGTCATAATTTGAGTATGAAATTAAAATGTTAAAAATTTGGGGATTGGTTTAAAATAAAAATTATAATTTAGGGACGTATAATACAATTAACTCTTTAAATGTATAAAGTATAAACTATTAAAAAGATAATGAGGTTATGCCTTGGAACAAAAGATTAGGACATTTAGCTTTTTGGAGCTAAATAACGTGTCCTCTAAATCATGAATAGATGGCAATTACTGGTGGAGTTTGTCTCATTTGACTATGAAACTCACTTTTCCTTCGCATAATCTACAAATTGGCAATTAATAGATACCATCTTGCTGACATCTTCACCAAAGCTTTGCATTCTCCTGCTTTTCATAGCTTTGTAGTCAAGACGTGTCTTATAAATATTCGTTAGGTTAGACAGTTAAGCTTTGTATAGGGCTCTATATATTGAGGTTTTGTATTTACGTGTTTATTATGGAGTTTTCAAGATAATAAAATCTTCTTCTCAATTCTCAAATTTGTTGTAGTACTTAATCATGTGTTAAGAATTGAGTTAAACCAACAATTGTGATTTGGAACTTTAACTTTATAGGTTTACATCACCCTGGTTGTTGTGAGGAATGGGGTGCTTTCTAAAACCTTAAGTTCAATCTACCTATACTTTTTTTTTTGTAACAAAAGACATTTTACTTATTTTATAGGATTGTATTTCTTTTCAACCATTAATATAGTAATATTCTTTTAAGTCGGGGAGTTGTTTTCATCAAGTTAATATGCAGGTTTCAGTTGATGTTCTGTATTTTTAATTGAAAAAAAATATGGTTGAGTTTGTGAGTTTATGACGAATACTTTATGAACTAAATGTTTGGCAGGAAGTTGGCTGAAGTTGCATGCCGAATGGTGATGGGCATTGGACTGGATTCTCGTTTTACCACATGCCATGTATGAACACAATCATCACTGCCCCTATCTCATCAAACAATTGAAGAAAGTGTAAATTCTCTCTTTGATTCTATTTACCTTTTGCATATTAACAAATCTACATGCATGTCTGTTATACCGCCACCTCTATCCCTCTGAGAATACTGTTCTGCACATACCTACGGAGTTGCAACATGGTTCCGGCAAATACGTCTCCGCATCCCAATTGTTGGCTCTGCTAACCTACTAGTGGTCGTTGACTCATTCTTCATCTGTCTTGTTGTACATCAATAAAATCTTATATTTATTGGATAACATAGGTTTTAACACCGGACCTCAAGTTTTTACTGCATTGTCTCGTGTTTTCGTTTTGTAATGAGAAACACTTACAGCTAAATTCAGGTAAGGCGGAGAGACCACCCTGGTAAAGCATGTCAAATAATTTAATACATTGAATGTGTCTGCCTACCATACCATTTTAAATGTCAACAACAGAGTTGGTGGGTGTTTGTGTGGCCTCTGCAGGATTTTATATATATTTGGCCTCAACATATTCAATGCTGAATCCCAATAATGAAATAAAAATGAGTTACCACAGTCTTTTTTTTTTACAATTTACTCCATTGCTGATATAATGCAGGTGAAGCAGCATAGTTTACAAGTGTGATGCTTTGCTCTCTACAATAGTATTCTTTTTTAAAAGGTAGGATGAATCAGCCAAACATCGGGAGATGGAAAATGGTAAGAAATTTTTTTATAATATTGATTCCAGTCCCACATGCAGAAACTCAATGATTCGGCCTAGTTGGTTGCTGATACCTACAAGATTTTTGTATTTTTTTTCTTCTTCTTGTTGTGTGGTGGAGGGGGAGAAGCTGAGGTGGCTACTGTTGTTAGGTGAGATGTGGAAATGGAAGGGTGTGCGATTTGATTTTGTGTGAATTAGATGTGGGCAATCCCACTTATTAATAAGCAAGCAAGAAATGATAAGACATCATACCGATATCATGTTATGTTTGGAAATTATTAATTAAAATATACTCTCTTCTAAAGTGAAAAATGACGCAAAATAGTACATTAATTTAAGCGGGTAAATTATTTAGTCCAACCGGGTTATCTGGAAATTATTTTGAGATTTACGACATTTGTTATAGTGCACATGAGACTCGTTGCGTGGGTGTGACGAATTTTATAAAATATATTAAAAAAAATTAAAACTCATCACGGGGCGTGACAATTTCTATGCAAATTTATTTCATATCATATGATGAGTTTTAATTTTTAATATATTTTTATAAAATTCGTCATATAGGCGTGATGAATTCCACGAATACTATAACAAATGTCAATCCTAAAATAATTTTTGGGTTTGGACTAAATAATTTGTATGCAAAATAATTTTTGGGTTTGGACTAAATAATTTGTATGCTTAGATTATTGGGCTGATTTTGCGGAAAAAAGGAAGCTGTAATTATTATTGTTGTTTCGTGAATTCCTCCATTTGGTAAACTAAAACCATTGATAATGGCAGTATGAATATGGGTTATTAAAATTGTTTTTGGATAATTATTTGATATATTAAGGATAAAATATTTTTAAAATATTCTTAATTTATTGATGATAATAATTTATCATTTTTATCGAATATCTACTTTTTTTTAGAGTGAATAAATAACATTTTCAATTGGAATTGAAAATATTATGTTGTCCAATCTCTAATAAATCATGTAAATCAGTTAAGTTTTTAGGCTAAGACATAAAAAATATCATTAGTAGTATGTTTTATTCGATTAAAAAATTCATATAGTATTATAAGTTGTAATTGAATATTTTACTAAATATATATATTTTTAATTTGAATATGATAATATTTAAATTCAATAAAATAATATTATAAAGTTTATCAATTGCCTATTAAATCGATCATACCACACATTAATCTTATACATATCCTACAACAAAACTATTAGATAGATTTATTAATGGTGATTAAAATACGGGTAAAGTACATAAATGATCCCCTAGCTACATAATGTTATATAGTTGAGTTTCTTAACTATTAAAAGTTACAAAATAGTTTTCCGACTATATGACTATGATATTATTTTTGTTGAGTCCATTGCTTATTAAAAGTCACAAAATGGTCATCCAACTATTCATATGTTCCAATGTCATTTTTCAATAAAAAATTGGCTGTCGTATGAGGTGAAAATTAACATGATGATTGATATATGATATTCGTTTGAGATTATGAGATCAGATTTTTGTATATTTCAATCAACAGATTAACGTTAAGCTCAAACTGTAGTTTATTTTTTAATGAAAAAATGAATTTGGAACATAAAAATAATTGGATGACTATTTTGTAACTTTTAATAGTCAGAGATTCAACAAAGTAACGCCCTATAATTGAAGACTATTTTGTAACTTTTAATAGTAGAGAGAATTAAAAAATTAATATCCTATAACTGAGGGACAATTTTTTTAATTTACCCTTAAAATACTAAAAAAATATCTCATACTATAAACGTAGAAAATGTATTTCTTAAATGAGTTAATATTAATATAAAAAATAATAAACAAAAGGGCACCGCCAAATCAGAACCGTTAAATTCAATCAATCAATATCTTTTTATCATTGAAAAGCGCATTCTTACCGTAGAAATACATTAGTCCCTTATTTTTTTAATTTATAATTTCCCACTTTCTGCGTACAATTAATATTCAATAAAATTCTAAACCCTACCACCTTCAAAATCCGCAAACCCTACCACCTCTCTCTTCAGCTTCTCCGATGGCGACAGCACGTGAGGAGAGTAACCCGTACGACGGCGGATTTGGAGCCGGTGGAAAGTTCAGGAAACGGCCGTTTCGGAGGAAAACGCCGTACGATCGACCACCGACCGCAATTAGTAACCCCAACAGTACCGTCCATAGAAATGGTTGGTTATCGAAGCTGGTGGATCCAGCCCAGAGGCTTATTACTTCCAGTGCTCACAGCCTCTTCGCCTCCATCTTCAGGAAACGACTCACTCCGTCGGAATCGTCGGAGTCAGGTGAGTTTTATTCCACGGCCCTCTTTTATCGTTTCTAAGTTATAAATAACACTTTTTTGGGGCAATGGAATTGTGCTTGTTTATGTTGCTTCATTAATGGCAGTTTGTTAATATTTGTTTCGGGAGCTTGTGGTTTTTAATTGAGGAGAGCATTTCAGAGTCAGATTTTTACTTTTGCGTGCTACCCCTTGAAAATTTGAGAACAAATTGTTATTATGAATAATAATTTATCATTGTGTTTTTGTTATCGAAATGAAAGCTGTTTCCCTTTCGTATGCTATTTTTTATTAGTCTATCTATACTTCATTTGAAAATGAATAATAACTCCCCAGTAGCCCAAATAATAGCCGGGAACCTGTGTGGCTGTGCCCAATTTCGTGATATTGCTTTAAATTGGAAATTACGTGTACTTAAAAAACATGTCAATGAATGAAGATGTCAAATATGCTTAAAATTTTTTAATATTTTACTTCAATATCTTATTGTAAATTAATGATTGGGATATGTTAGCCGTGAGTTAATTATATATTGGTGATTATAATAAGTTAGTCTTTTTTGAGTTATTACGTCTGGCATCTATAAGTTTGAATTACCATTAATTAAGTTCTGGTTTTTGGTGATGTTTATCAAACATTGCATGTAATAATCTCATCAGAGACTAATCTGGAAGCAAGGGAGAATTCACCTGCCGCAACTTCAACAGTAAGTATTCAAGTTACAAAATTAATCCTAGTTGTGTTTATGTTCCTGTTAGATTGATTAAGGATCTTTATTAAACTAGTTCCTCTGGTTTTAATATTTTTACAGCTGGAAAAAATAACTGTTAATTGTAAACTTTTAACATATAGAGCTAATTCTTTATATTTTTGGGAAGCTTTGAAGTTTGAAAATGTACTCGATTTTTCGTTCTTCAGTATTATTGTCCGTAGAAAATGCTATGTTCTAGTATCATCTTTGCGTTGGGTATGAAAGTCTACCAGGTAATGCTATTATTGTCTGTGGAAGATTCATTGGGCTCTTTGGTTGCATTTCGGAAGTTGAATTTGAATAATATATTTGGATTTCAAATTTGGCACAAATTGTGTGATGGATTACATGAAACATGAATTCCGTGATCACTTTCAAATGCATGGGCTTGCCAAGAAGGGAATTTAAGATTCATACTCTTATGCCCTCTTAGATACATAGATGTGTTGAATCTTTAACTGATTTCTGCAGACTGTGTGCATTTATCCTATTAACGTATTATCATTGACCAGTGACCAGTCCACATTTTTAATTATGCCCCCATAAATAGCATTACTTTGCAATTGGGTTTGAGTGCATCTGCAGTACTATGAAAATTTGAGGCTGTTTTGGTTTCTTAAATCATTTTCTGTTTGCAATATTCCTTTTGGTGTCCTGAAAACACTGGTTGCTTGCTTTTCAATTTCTTGGATATCTTTTCAGTATCTAGAATAACTGTTTCCAAAGAATCAAAAAGTTGAAAATATTTGGTATTAGAATTTTCTTAGTAGTACACAATAACAGTGTTTGACAAGCATGAGTAAATTTTAATATCCTTAAATCAAAGATCCTTTTTGGTTTGTTCGACATTTCAATAAGGAGTTCTATTTGATTAAACATTTGCAAAGAGAAGCTAAAATAGTGTTTGGCTAATTTAAGAGAAGTACTGTAGGATGTAGAAATCTTTTTGATATTGTTTTAATTTGTTTCTAATAAAATAAGAGACTTAAACTTCATTAAACCCAAAGAGTCTTAAAATGAAAAAAAAGGTAATATAACTTCTATTAAGTGAAAGTTAGAGCACCAGCAAAGATGAAATTTTTGACTAAATTTGTACATTATCATATGCTTTTGTTTTGCTTGATAAAAAAGGGTCTATCATAGTGTATGCTTGTGTTTATATATTTGCATCGATGTAGCTTGATGCATGTTTGTTTTCATCTTGATTGCAGTCATCATACTTTGCTTCTAAGGCAGTGACATATGTTGAGGTAAACTGCAATTTACAAAGCCAATCATATCGGGGTCCAATTTTTTAAAAGCCTTCAGGCTGCATTCTGATGTACCTCACTTCATTGGGGAATTGAACTTGAGGAATCCATATGGCTTGTAACATCATTTCATCATTAACCACTTTCAGTTTTCTCTCTCGTTGTTTCAATATTTTTTTTATTATGTATTTGTATGTGTTTGAAACAGCTAAACCTATTCTTCTTTTCTATTCACCAAACACGTTTTAACTAGATTTAATGCAGTTGTAAGTGTGATAGAGAGTGCTTGTTTTTTAAACTGGAAGCATGCTTTTCTTGGTATGCTTTGGAGATACAGAACTTAGATAGAGTGTGTTAGGGGCAGACTTTGTCCAAAGTGAACATATCTCACCGTTATTCATTATGATTGTGGAAGTTACTTTCTCGTTAACTATCTTTTTGGGGATGATATTATTCTTATGATTTTTTTCATTTCTCATCTTTATGATATCTCTATGATGATCCCAACTTATATACTGATATTTTTTAAAAATTTCTCATCACAGGATCCTTTTCATGTGAAAAGAGCCGACATGGAACGTGAGAATCCCAGCAATCATGCTCAGGAAGGTGGACTTGCTGAACTTGAGGAAATTTTGAAGCGCAAGACATTTACCAGGCAAGATGATCTATAATTGCATCCTATTGATGTCAAGCTGACATGCATGGTTAATTGTGCTACTTTGTTTTAAGATACCTTTGCTAAATCAAGTTGGTGGCTTTTACTCTGATAATTTGTAGTTTTTGATCGCGTGCTCTACTGCTCTCGTGCATACGGATCCTGGAGTTTCCTTTTCTCTCAGATTCCTTTTCCTGGAAGAAAGCTGAGAATATGAATCCGATTAAATCTTTTCATGCATTTGCTTATTCTAGTTATTCTTGCAACCTTCTACAGTACTACCTAATTTCCAATTCATACATGCTGGTGTCATGCTTTGTGATTTTCCTTCATGTTTCAGCTTTGATGGGAACAAACTTTACCTGCCTTATTTGGTGGGCTTATCATATTTCTTTATGTTTGACTAGTAATTCTTTCAACATGTATTTTCTTAGTTCCATTATTATTAATATTATTCTTTTGCAGATCTGAAATTGATCATTTGACGACTTTACTACATTCAAGAACTGTTGATTTTCCTGCTGGAAATGAAGAAATTGTGTCTAATGGGAGACCAATGGTATCATATGACAAGAAAGAAAAGCTTCCAGATACCCCAGCTACAGAAAATGGTACTGAGAACCATTTTTTTTCCACACCTATTGTCAGCTCAACTGTAAGGAGTTCTCTTTCCTTCATTTTGCTTTTGGGTAACATATCCTTTAGTGTCTTTTTCCAAGTCTGTATTATTTTAAATTAAAAGATGGAAATAAAAAACTTCCATGGTGTTACAGGTACTTGATGAGGATGTTGCTTCACCCGCTGAGCTTGCAAAAGCTTACATGGGTAGTAGGCCTCAAAATGTATTTGTATCTATGCTTAGATTACACAATCAAGTGCCTAAAGCAGATTCAGCTTTGCTTAACAATAAAAGTTTCCCTTCTAAGTCACCCATAAGGTCTTTTGTGCCAAGATCCGTCCATGTTGGGAGTCCTGGAGATGGTTTTGCTACCCCAAGATCATGGGGCAGGTCTGCAATATATAGCATGGCACGAACACCTTATTGCAGGACTAACTCGGCACTTGTCCCCAAGGTTCGATGCTCTACAATCAGTGTCTCATTCATAATTTCTTATCATATTTCTTATTATAGTTGTTAACACCTTCCATAGGGTGCTGGCACTGCAAGTGGTGCTTTTGGTGGACCATCATCATCGTCTCAAAGTGTATGGGAGCAAAATAGAATTTCTGGCTCTGGACAAGGGGTACTAATTTAGGATCATTGCACTCTTTTTGAGAGTTCCTCATTTAGAGAATGTCACTGGATATACATTTTTCTCTTGCAGGTTTTAAAGCGCAGGAGTTCAGCATTAGAGAATGATATAGGATCAATTGACCACCCTATTCGCCGGATTCGTAAAAAATCCAATATTCTTTCTTCGAAACAGTCAAGTGTACCTGCTTCGGCTAATTCTCTGCCCACACATGTAGCTGACAGTAGTTCAAGTGGTCTAGATGTTCTAGCCAAGAATGGGGAAAACAGCACTCCTAGCACAAGTTTTACCCCTGTTCCATCCAAGTCTTCTGAAGTGGCTTCAAAAATATTACAGCAACTTGACAAGTTGGTCTCCCCTGGGGAAAAGTCACAAAGTAAGTTGTCACCATCTATGCCACATGGGCAGTCTCTTAAAAGCCTTGAGAATGTAGATTCTTCAAAATTTCTTGAGAACATGCATGGTAGCGACAAGTTGAGTGCTTCTTACACTGTACTGCCTGATGATCAAGACTCTATGTCTTACAACCGTGATAAAGCTAAAGGAAAAGGTTCAACAGTGTTGGTTGCTCTCTCTGATAAGTCAGGTTCTCCGGTGAGTGGTCTAGATGCTGGTAGTTTAATGAAGGCTAACAATGAGCCTAATTTTAAAGCTGCTGATTCCACTGTGATCAAGTCTTCCCTAGAGCTACCTCAACCAAAGAGACGGGCTTTTCATATGAGTGCAAATGAGGTTAGTATTAATGGGTAAACAAATATAATTGATGTCTAATCTCCTTTTTGGTTATGATTTTTGGGTGATACAGGCAATATATTATGATCAAATTTCCTTCTGTTACTTTTTCCTATCAATTGCTATTGTCTTGATTCAAAGATGCTGGAAGAAAAGTCTCTCAATAGCTACCTTCAGTTTGACACAGGAAATTTATGAGCTTCAATGTTATATTTTAGTCATTCTGTTTCCTTTTTTATGACCTTAAAAATTTACAATCTATCACAGGATTATCTGGATCTGGATGATGATGGGTATCCTGACGGTGCTGCATCTGCTACGCCTGACAAAGGGAGTAAGAGTGCTGCTGCTGCTGCTATATCTGCAGAGAAGCATTCTAGTCTTTCTGAAGTTAAGTCTGCATTCAGATTAAAACCTGATTTGAGGACATCTGATGGATCCGCAGTTGTTGAAAACAATGCTGATGTTACTTTTCCTGTTCCAAAGGTGGACCCTTCATTTGTGCCAGCAGTGTTGTTGGCATCACAGTCAACTTCAACAGCTAAGGAAGATGCATCCTTGGAGGAAACAAAGGCAACTTCTATTCTTAGCTTTGGGGAGAAAGTTGCTTCAGCTAAGCAGTCAGATGCTGCTGCTACTTCTGTATTTCGCTTTGCCACTGCCCATGTTGGTGAAATTTCATCTGCTACTGGATCTTCAGGTGCTAAACTCGCTGCAAGTTCAGACACAAAACTGGAGAACTCAAGCAGGTTGGTATATATATCCATTAGTCAACATTTCTTACTTGGAAGGTCATTTATTCTGCCTTCTCCTTCCCCTTCTTTCTCTCTATGCCTTACAATGCAGGCATTATATATAGAATTATTAATAGTGGATTGAGTTGAGTGGAATAGAAAGGAAGTAAAAGGTTACCAAGTATGGGAGTTATTATAAGAGCTGGGGGGATTTAGGAGGTGAATCTAGCCATTTGAATAATGATTTCATGTCAGTGTATGCTTATTTTCTTGCATTCCACCACCTTGAGTTTAAGAAGAAAAAGATGGGGGGAAATTTTCCTCATTAGATGGATAAAAGCTGCTACTGTGACTTTGGAAATAGAAAATCAGGATCACGATAAATGATTATAGACATTTGATTGTTGTGATTCTTGCACCAAATTGATCTTTGATTGTTAGGTATCCTGAAGCTAACTTCCAGCATAGTAGTTGTCAAGGTTTTCATGGTGAGGTTGAGATGTGCAACAAAAAGGTTGCATATAGTTTTGAAATGGTTAATTACATTTTTGGTGCATGAACTTTATCCAGTTTCTCGATACTAAAATTCAGTTTTGAATTTCTGATCTTTAAATTCTTTAAGTGTCAAATTGAGGATTTAACTGTGATGTATGCATAGGATGTGTCCATTTCAAAGTTTTTGCCAAGCTTGAGATGGTAATAATAATAAATGGGGTTCTGCTTAGAACCCTTGTATCCCGAAGCTAACTTCCAGGATATTAGTTGTCAAGGTTTGCATGGTGAGGTTGAGATGTGCAACATAAAGGTCGCATATAGTTTTGAAATTGTTAACTACATGTTTGGTGCACATATTATATCCAATTTCTCGATGCTAAAATTCAGTTTTGAATTTCTGGTTTTTAATTTTTTTTAAGCGTCAACTGTAATGTATGCATCGGATGTGTATCTAACCCATTTCAAAATTGTTGCAGAGACTTAAGATGGTAATAATAATAAATGGGGTTCTAGTTAGAGGTGAGCAGAACTCGATTAGACTCAAAGAAACTTATATATTTTTTTTAATTTTGAGTTAACTCAAATTAGTGAGTCGATTTTCAAGTTGAGTCAGGATTTTACCAAGTCAAAAGACCGAACAACCGAATTTCAAAATGATGTTTTGATCTTTAACTAAGTAATTTGATTGTTTTGCAGTTTAGTTCATAATTTCCTTATTTCTTCAATTCCTCCATTTTAAGTCTGTTTTTTTACCGAAATTGAACCACATGCCCCTAGACAAGTGTAGAGTATCTATGTAGCTTTAATTCCTCTTTTTGAAAACGAACTTCTTTTTTCAATTTAGTTCCTCAAATTTGCATAATTTCCTCATTTCTTCAATTCCTCATTTGTTTTAAGTCCATTTTTTACCAAATTTAAACCACATGCTCCTCTACCCCTATAGAATACCTATGTAACATCGATTCCTCTTTTTGCATTTATTCTCTCAATTTTGTATTTCATTAAATTTGATTGTTTAACTGTATTTTTTTCTGTAAATTCTTTCTTCCCATCAATTCCTTGATTTCTTTATACTCTCATCAATACTTAGTCCTCAAAATCCCTTCTTTTTAAAAATAACATTACAAATATATTTTATAATTTTGGTTAATATTTGATTTATTAAATATTACACTTGTGAAAAAGAATATGAAAAAATATATATCTATATCTTATATGATTAGAGAATGTTGTTTAAATTGGAATTAACACCATAATATTATAAATAATTACAATTAAATTTGAAGAGAAACTCCTAGACTTGAAAAAATTTCAAAGAAAGTCTGAATCATGAAATTGGACTTATCAACTCGATTAACTCAACATTTTTTTACTCGACTCGATCTAATACTCACTCCTAGTTCTAGTAAGAAATAAAAAGGTATGTATACTTAATCAGTTTATAGATGAACTTGTTTATCTGCACAAGAGTGCTTTAATGAAGATTTAGCTTCTTTTTGCTGTTTCTTCTCACTTCTGTAACAATCACGAGATATTGTTTCTTTTGGAAACAACAATCTATAAGTGTAGATATTTATTGTTTAAACCGTTGCTGTTTAATTTGCAGCTTTGCTACTACTGCTCCTGGTACAACCAATTATTTGTCGGATAAAATTGATGAAGAGAATGCTCCAACTGGGATTTTCAGCCCACCTAAAACAGCAACTTCGACTTCTGGAAGCATCTTCAAGTTTGATGCCTCGGAAAGTAGTTCTACTTTGAGTAATGGGTCTCTTGCTTCAAGTCCTTTTTCTTACCCTTTGCCTACACCATCTCTAATCCCCGGTAATGGTCAAAGTTCATCCAGTGGCTCTACCAATTATGTATCCATCACCTACATTGACACTTCCACTGCTGCCACTGCTTCCACAACTGCCAATGTTGCTGTTAGCAGTACAAGCAGCAGCCCCTCAATTGATGCCTCAGTCTCATCCTTTATGCCTGTTTTCAAGTTTGCATCCTCTGGTGACCCATCAGCTTCAGTTTCAATGTTATCAGCAACTTCAAGGGAAGCAGCTGAAGTGAAGACCCAGGATACAAGCTCTGGCACTGTTGGTCCTTTTGGTAGTAATTGTGCTTTTACTACCTCTGCAAGTAATATTTTTGGTGGTTTATCTGCAGTTGCAGGCACTAGCAGCACTTCTGGTTGTACAACTGCTATGGTTATAGGCTCTCAAAATGACAGGCTCAATGATACATCTTCCAACATCACAAACTCCACAAGTGGCTTTTTCAGCAGCACAAACAAAGGCAGCGGTATCCTTGGTGGTACATCTGCAAATACAGATGCAGGTAGTAGTATTTTTGGCAGTACATCTTCGTCAATGGCTAGTACAGGAAGTAGTACTTTTTCCACTACAACTTCAATCACTAGCATAGGAAGCAACATCTTTGGATTCAGTGCTCCAGCTACATCTGGATCTACTACACGGACTCTGGTTTTAAATGCTGTTAATGCCCAAGCATTTGCTGCTGGAACTGGATTTGGTACCTCGACTCAGAGTACACCCGTTCAGTTTTCTTCATCTGCATCATCTCCATCAGTTGGGAATTCAACCGTTGCCTCTGGCAGTTTCGTGTTTGGATCATCAGCAGCATCTGTAGCTAAACCTTTTGGTTCAGAGGCTACTTTTGGAATGAGTTCTTCCTCTTCAGAAACAAATTCTTTGAGCTCTGGCAGTGGCATTGCTTCTGGCACATTTGGTTCCAGTTGGCAAGCCCCTAACTCGCCCATATTTGGTTCATCACCATCAGGATTTTCCTTTGGATCATCAGCTTCTGTTACTGCTTCTAGCAGTGCACCTACCCTCTTTGGGTCATCCACTGGTGCCTCCTCAAACTCCTTATTTTCTTTCACTTCAGCTGCATTTGCTACCCCATCTGTGCCTGTGTTTGGTAACTCCAGTCCTGGCATGTTGTTTGGGTCAACTCCAGCTGCAGGTGCTACTCCATTGCAGTCTGTGTTCGGTAACTCCATTCCCGGCATGGTATTTGGGTCAACTCCATCCAGGAATAATGATCAAATGGAGGATACGATGGCAGAGGACAATGTTGTTGCTTCACCGGCTGTTTCGATATTTGGTCAACCGCCATATGGGTCTCCTTTTGGTGCATCAAACCCAGCAGGAGCAACGTTTCAATTTGGAGCCCAACCAACCACACCTCATAATCCATCGCCATTTCATGCTTCTAGCAGTCAGGAATTAGGTGCTGGAGGGAGCTTCTCATTGGGCACCGGTGGTGGTGACAAGTCTGCCAGAAGATTTGTGAAGGTCCGCAAGCAGCGGAAGAAGTAAAAAGGCGCCTGATGATCATTGTAGCCATGTGAAGTGCCAGCAGGATTGTTTGGCAGTCTGGAACTTTGAATGCTCCGAGTCTGCGTAAGCATATGCAGTTTTCCTGTGTTTTATTAGGGTTGTGGCAGAAGCTGTCATAATTTTGTATGGTTAAGTAGCACATTTGTACTAAGTTTTAATTAGGCGATAGAGAGCTTGTCTTTATTGTAAACATAAAAGAAGGGTAAAATGCTTATGAATTTCATTTTCCAGTTTCTTAATTGCCCCACCTGTTTATTTCTTATACTGTAATTATATACCTTTTCGTTTTTTTTTGTTTACCAATTTACTAGAATTTGTTATTTTTCAAATGTGCTACTTTTACTGATTTTGTACTGATATTTGTCAAACACCAAACAAAATATTTCGTACTAAATTTTTTACAAATTATAATATGAAATTCACAACATATTTTTAAATATCCGACATTAATTTATTTAGTATGAGAAATTCAAGTGGCTCTGTTTATTCTTTATAATTTTATGTAACCAAATCATAAGTGACAAAAACAAAAACAGAGTGGAAAGCTAACGGAAAAGGGTAACATTTATCGAGTGTAGAGATCAAAGCAAATTATGACCGTTACTAACTCATTCGCCCCCTTCTATCTCTATTTTCCACGTGGTATTAATCTTTCGGCTACAATTTAACTTCCACATCATTGGATTCCAGTTTCCGAAATTTTAAAAATGAATTCTAGCCGTTGGAAACTGGTCCCCACTTCTTTCCAGCAAACAAAACTTGAAGCACCAAAACCATCGACCTGTCTTGCCTTTTAATCAGATCAAATTTGGCATCTGAATCTTTTCTGGTGTGGGAAATCAAAAAGGGAAGAAAGGATGAAGAGTGTGAAAGGAAAGCTCTCGAGGAAGCTTAAATCAATCAAACCAGTTGGTTACCTAAAGCCAGATCGGGTTCTTCAAGCATTAGCCATAGATGGGTTTACCGATTCTTTCTCCAAGGCACCGATTCCCGATGAACAAGATGAACAACCCAAGTTGTTCACCAAAGCATCGGAATCAGAGCATGAAAACATCAAAGTGAGCTCTGTAAGATTCGTCGAGAATCAGCCTGAAGTCATTGCTGTAACAGAGCTAATGAAAGATCTTGAATCCGACGACGATGAAGAAGAAGAACTGGGTTTGAATGAAGAGATTGACGATAAAGAGAATATTACGCCACATGTTGAGAAAGAGAATGCGAATATGAATTGTAGGCAAAGTACTTGCGCCCCGTTATCGGAGATCGATGTGTCGTGTTTTCGGAAGCCGGATTTGAATTCTTGTACCCTCTTTGACCCTAACCTTCTGGTTGTCTTTGAACAAGCTGTGAAGGAGCACATGAAGATGAATGAAGAAGAGAGGAGAGCATGGATCGAGCAGGATAATGTACTCGAGAAGAAGACAAGAACCCTGGAAGACAGTGATGAAAACAGCAGAAAAGGAATGGAGAAAAAGGCAAGAATCCATGACGAGGATGCAAATGGCGATCCTCTATTAGGATTCGAAGAGAAGTGTCCGGCCGGAGTCGACGGGTCCGTCATCCTTTACACGACAACTCTGAAAGGAATACGAAAGACCTTCGAGGACTGCAACAGCTTGCGGTTCCTGTTGGAGAGTTTCCGAGTGATATTCTACGAAAGGGACGTATCGATGCACACGGAATACAGGGAAGAATTATGGAGGATTTTGGGTGGAAGGGTGATGCCCCCGAGGCTGTTCATTAAAGGTAGATACATCGGCGGAGCCGATGAAGTTCTTACCTTGCATGAGCAAGGGAAGTTGAAGATGCTCTTCAATGGCGTCCCTATGGATACTTGTAATGGCGCTTGTGAAGGTTGTGGCGGTGTTCGGTTTGTGCTTTGTTTCGTCTGCAATGGCAGTCATAAGATCATTTCCGATGACGGGTTGTCCAGTAAATGCATGCAGTGCAATGAGAATGGCCTCATTGTTTGCCCTCTTTGCTCTTGATTTCTGTTTCGTTTCTTTTTTGGGGTTCTACTTCTTGCTGTGTGTTATTTGTAAAACATTGCTTCTCCCATTCCTTAATTTGTTGTCTCTGAAAACTAATGTAAAATCAAATGATAAATATATGATTATTTACGTTGCATATATTTATTATTATCAAACAAATTCCTGTCACTAATCATGTCTGCATGCTTCACTTGAGATTTCTAATCAACAACCATATATTCCACAAAACTCTAACAACAACTAAACCAGGCCCGACTCTATTCGATGAGAATTAGATAAATACGGTCATTGGTCCGTATAAAAAGTTATTAAAATGTTCATTATTATCAAACAAATTCAACACTTAAATTTTATTAAAATGTTAAACAGTTTTTTTTTTAATTTAAAGTTAGTACTTATCAATTTTAATATAAAAAAGCAAAAGTTACTTTTTACACATTTAATTGTTCAATTTATTCAACAACAATTTAATTTAATTAAAGAATGATTACTCATAATTTTAAGTGACTGAAAACGAAAACTTGAGTTGAGATTTAACCAAACGAAAGAGATGGTCAAAAGCTAGTTTGACAAGGAAATGGGCTTAATTTTTGAATTTTGATTATTTCAAGTCAAAATAAAAATAAACAGGTTACCTAAAAGTTGTTAAAATTCCAATTAGAAATACAACTTCAGCAACATGGGTGCATCTACTAGAGTACTGCTACTTTGCCTCTTAACTTTAGCAAAGTAAACTTATATTCCCCCCGCATATATACATATATTGTTTTATCGATAAAAATGAGCTGATAACCCTTGTATTAGTTCACTAATTCTCCTTCTTTGGAGAATTAATCAAGTCCAGAGAGGCTCGTCTTCCATGAAGCTTGGGAAAGTGTCATAATGGGATTGCTGGGAATTGGGTTGAGGAGACGACTGTTCCATCTCTATGTCGACGTTTGCTAGCTGCAATTGCATGTTGACCACTTCAGATTGAGTTCTGGCCAACTGTTGTTGCAGGTCATCAATTTACTTTTGCAACTGGCAAATTTCCCCCGCACACCCGTAAACCGGTTCACGGATCCTTGGCGTGCCTCGTAAACCATGCTGCTCACCGCATCCGACCTTTGACCCTCTGGAAGTTCCTGATATACATATCAACGGTTTAACAAACTTTGATGTTACTCACACCTTTAACAACTGAATGAAATGTCCAAAAGTAAAACAAATACTGCTTAATGTCAAATATTTAATATATTGATGGTGTATAATTTTATGCATACGAATATAGTGAAGGACTGAATGTTAAGTAAAGCACCTGCAAGAACTTGATGATGTTGCTAGCACCAAAGACACGATGAGCAATGGCGAACTTGGCTGGTTCCGTTGGAGGAAAATAAGCTGCCAATACACATTTATCGGCACACCTTCTCCTTAAAATCTTGCAAGCGGAACAAGGGCTAATAACCACCGGCGGAGGAGGGGGAGAAGGCGGAGAATGGGGAGAAAGAGGTTGAGAAAAACACATTGTTGGACCGATACATTCCATCTTAAAAATGGGATGGAAAGAGTTAAAGAGTTGGCTATATTTATAAAACATGACATGGATCAGGGGTTATAGTATGAAATATGATTATAATATAAAAATGTAAGTGGGGTATGTACGTAGCTACTTGTTAATGGCCAAGCCTTTCCCAACAGACCACGTAGCCTAAGTCTTAGACTAATGAGTTGCTGCGGAGTTATTGAGCTTGCTTGCCTTGCTGCTGCATGCCACCTAGGGAGACAACTCAACCCGAACCCGACGGGTTCCGACCCGACCCGATTCGATCGGGTCGGAATTTTTTTTAAAAAAAAATCGAGTTTTGATCGGGTCGGGTTTTTTAATGCACTGGTCGGGTTTAGGGTAGAAAAATCTGACCCGGTCCAAAAAATATATATAATTGTACCTTATATATTTAAAGATAATTACAATAATACCCCTCTATATATAATTTTTTTTCAATTAAGTCATTGTTTTTATTGAATAAAAATATATTTTTTTTATTTGGGGTCGAGTCGGATTTCTAAGTCATATATTCGGTTCGGGTCGGGTGAAACCTTAATTTCGTCAGGTCAGATCACGGGTGGAGGACCCTTTCTTCTCGGGTTGGGTCGGGTGGCCCAAAGACCCGACCCGACCCATTGCCATCCCTAATGCCACCTCTCCCTCTCACTCTCTCACACAATTTATCAAACTCCTAATCACCTACCCACTTATTCAGAACCCCACTATATTATTAAATTTATATAATTTTAATTCATTTAATTAATTGTATAAAAATGTTAAATTTTATAATAATATTTTTTTCATTTTTAAAATAAATTTACAAAAAGTAAAAAAAATCATTCGATTTAGACTATTATATTCATTCCGTTAGAAAACTTTAATGATTATTTTAAATTATTAATAAATTTAATTTAATTTAATTTATTCGATTTACACGATTCAATCAATTTATTCAATTTTAATATATAAAAACCTAATCGGCTCATTATACACATTCAATTGTAATTGTAATTACAGATTTGATTTCAATGTACATAATTGAAAAGAGAATTAATCAAGTAGAGTTGATAATATTTTCCAAAAACCTAATTGCTTGCAAATAAAGACACAAATGTACTTAAGTTTTACATTATTGGTACAGTTCTTTGACCATTATATACATACATATTGTGTTGGGGGGGGGGGATTACGCTCGGTGTAAGATTCACAGTTTCACACTTTTTTTAGCTGTTATAAATGAGGGTAAGTTACATGTTTAGCACTAAAACTAATACTTTTATTCAATTTTGGTACTTAAACTTTATTTTTTTCTCAAAATCATATCTAACATTTAGTTTAGGCTTCATTTTAGTACCCCATTGTTAAAAACTTAACAGAACTACTGACGTGACTTTTTTCAATGATGATGTGGCATTACATTATGGTGACACGTCAATATCATCGTTAAGTTTTTAATGGCGGGTACCAAAATGAAAAATAATGTAACCCCCTAAATCCGGCCTATGCGTTTCGACTAAGTCTAATGGATCACATTCATGATTCTTAAATATATTTTTCTGAAACCGTTATTCTATCAACGTAAAATCATATTTATAAATGACATTTATGAAATTATAATAAATTATACTATAAAAAAACCAACTCATAATTATGAGAAAAATAACAAGTTAATTAAAACATGTCTTAAAAATCCAAATTTCAATAAACCAATATAATTTAGCAAAAGAAGTACTCATTATAAAATCCAATACTTTTAAAATAAGGTCCATGTTACCATAATAGAGTCAACTTAAAAGATAAAACATTACAATACGATATACTTCAAGAGATATGTTGATCCTCCAAGTGCTTGATCCGAGTATCTAACCAATAGTATCTGAAAGGGGAAAATATTTTTGAAAAGTGAGCTAGGCTCAGTGTGTCCCAATAATACAATAAAATTATAGTAGGTACAGTAAATGAGTAATAGTTCAGAAATTCATCATCAAACCATAATGAAGTTTAACTTTTGAAACTCGTAATTTAAAACCCTTCTCCTGTACACCATCCGTAATTCCCCAGAACTGTGTCCATAGGGCTTATCTTAAGCACACAGCAGAAAGGAAGCCAACCTAAAGATAGACTTTGGGGCATGTATCCTTAAGTCCGTAAGTCCGTAGGGCTTACCCTAAGCACACAGCAAAGGGAGCCAACCTAATGAAGCATCTTGAGGCCTGTGAGCCTACCCAAGAGTCACATTACGTCCATAAGGTTTACCAGCTTGATCAAAGCTGTACCTCCATAATGCAATCCAACCCAAAATCAGTATTTCAAAAATACTATTTATGTAGTAAGCATAATTTCCATAATTCCATAATCAATATTATCATATACCAATGAAAAATAATAATCATATAGCAGTCATATTCCATAAACCATCACCAGTAAATAGGTGGATTAATAAAACATTAAACCATAGCTTTCAATATACCATATTTCAAAACATATAAAACAATCAAGTAGTACACATGGAAAACACCTCGACAATAGGTTCAAATAGTAGATCTAGTGATTGCTGGTCTCGCCACGCTCTGCTACTGTTTTCGAACCTAATCCATAATAACACTATATTACTAATGGGTAACAAAATTAATTTATGAAATCATAAAATTTACGGGTCTTACGGGTAAATACTGGCACATGCGGCTTAACTGATCTAGAGGAGCTGGGTCGAGCTGTCGAACGGTCAGAAGAGTCTCTTGTACCTTCAAACATTAATAATTTATCAGTCACAAGTCTTACTCAATAATTCAAAGCTTAAACTCTTTAGTACATAAGCATTTTTCGGGTTTGACTATCAATTTAAAGGCTTTCGAGTCTGAATTTGACCAAACATAGTGCGGAATCAGAATCAGGGTGTTGAACAACATAAAATATGACTTTTCAAAAATTCAAATTCTTGGTCAAAATCAAAATCAACGGGTTTGACTGATGATTTGGAGGCCTTCGGGTTCAAATTTGGCAAAACGGAAACAGATTCGGCACGTTGAAAAATGTCAAAATAGGTATACTCGAACAAAATCAAAGGTCGTTTAATGACCATTTAAAGCCAGTCAAAGTTATGATCAAAGGGTTCAATAGTCCACATTAAAAAATTACAAAAATATCACCTTTATTAAAAATAATTACTAAAATATCACCGTTTTACAAATATTCCCAATATGTCATCGTTTTAAAAATAATTACCAGAATGTTACTGTTTAAAAAAAATCCCAAAATGTCACCTTTTTCAAAATAATTCCCAAAATGTCACTTTTTCAAAATAATTCCCAAAATATCATATTTTTTAAAATAATTCTCAAAATATCATCTTTTTCAAAATAATTCCCAAAATATCATTGGGTCGGGTCGGTCAACGGGTTGGGTCGGGTCAGACCGGTCAACCCGGTTCAGACCGGTCAAGTCGGTCACAACATCACCAACCGTTCGCATCTTTCCCCACGCGCAGCGTGGGGGCGCGTGAAACCTCCTCCGGCTCCAAAAATTCCTGCAAAAATTTTCAAAAATTA